CGGGGCCTGCAGGGGCAGCCGACACTCAGGCCACTGCCCTCTGTGCCTCAGTTTCCTCATCTGAGAGGGGCGGGCCTGTGCGGCTGCAGTGACCATGCGGGGCAAGCTGTTCCTTGGCCACCAGCCTGGGTCCCCAACAGAGACAGTGAAGGACCAAAGTGGGGAGGGGCGCTGGACGGGGTCCATACTGACCTTGTTCAGGGGCTGGTGACAAAGATGGACCACTCCCCACCTGCACTCTGCCCAGCCCGGAACCCAATGCCCTGACTTTCTCTCCACTAGGCCCAGGCTGACTCAGGACCAGGGCCCTGAGCTCACTGTTGGCCCCAGCCCCCCACAGCCCTCTGGGTCTTGGAAAATCCAGCCACTAAGGCCTGGAGCCTTTCAAAGGCCTGCGCCAGAAGGCAGCAGGGGTCGCTGTCCTGGCCCGAAGGTCGTGCTGCCCACAGACAGGCGGCCAGTAGGGGTGCACTCACTGCCCAGGAAGGCCTGCAGGTTGCCCTTGCGCATGAGCTCGGTGACGATGTACACGGGCTCGCCCGTGGAGCACACGGCGTGCAGCTGAATGAGCCGCGCGTGCCGCAGGCTTTTCAGGGTCTGGATCTCTTTGACAAGGTCAGCAAGTTTCATGTTGGCTGCTGGAGAGGGTGCAACTCCAGGACCCGTCCACATCACCCGTGGCTTCCCCGGGGCTCCAGGGGTCAGGGGTGGCAGGGCCTCACCCACCTGATTTGATGACCTTGATGGCCACGGGCACGGAGCCGAGCCACAGGCCTTCCCACACCTCCCCGAAGTAGCCTTTGCCCAGCTTCCTCCGAAGGGTGAACTCGGAGCGCGGCCGCTCCCACTCATCCTGCTTCGGGGGCTTCTGTCGGGGTGAGGGGCATTCAGGGCCTCTGTGTGTGGCCCTGTCAGAGTGGCAGCTTCTCCAGGGACCAGGCCTCCCCCCAGCACGTGCTCAATGCTGGCTCTGGGTGGAGCAAGGGGTGCCAGGTGCTAACCTTCCTGAGGCTGGGCCCCATTTGCTGAAGAAGGACCACTGTCCACAAACACTCATCACTGCCCCTCAGGCTATCATTCAGGGGCCAGAGGAACCAGGTCGCTGCCCGGCCCCTCGGCAAACAGCCGCGCTGGGACCGTGGCGGAGAACTGCAGCTCCAGCTCAGGGGCGGCTCCTGGGGCAGGTCCTCAGGATCAGCATCTCCTCCCACAGCTTCTGCCCTGGGCCTGGAGCTGCTGCGGGAGCCTCCCCATGCGCCCCCAGCCCCCTGCCCTCCTCACTGCTGCCTGCAGAGCCTGGCATTCTCCCGGCCAGGGCTCTCGGAGGGGAGCAGACCCCACTCCTGAGCAGAGCCCCAACCAGAGTGTGGAGGTTCGCCAAGTGTGGGCTCCTGGGCCTCCTCAGATCCCCTGCTGGCCTTCTGGCAATATGTGAGGCCCAGCAAGGCCGGGCAGGAGCAGGGCAGGGTCAGGCCCACCTGGGACACGCAGGGCTGCAGTAGCGGGTGCTGGATCAGCTTCCAGTTGGCTTTGTAATAGGTGAGCAGCTCCCCCAGGCTGGGGAAGAGATGGCCCTTCTGCAGGTAGAAGCTGCCGTCAGCCGCCGTGGAGATGCGGTAGTGGCGGACTTTGGCCTGAGCCCGGACTGGGAAGGTGCAGAGATGGA